TTGTTGTTGTTGTTGTTGTTGTTGTTGTTGTTGTTGTTGTTGTTGTTGTTGTTGTTGTTGTTGTTGTTGTTGTTGTTGTCTGTTGTTGTCTGTTGTTGTTGTTGTTGTTGTTGTTGTTGTTGTTGTTGTTGTTGTTGTTGTTGTTGTTGTTGTTGTTGTTGTTGATGCTCTTGTTGCTTTTGCTCTTGTTGTTGTTGTTGTTCTTGTTGTTGGACCGTCTTGCAGAGTCTCACGAGTACACGTGGTTGCTTGCGTCGCGCGCGCGCGTGTGTGTCAGGTTCACATTCGATCTTGATGATGCCGCCTTCCACCGCGTCTCCAGCATCGTCTCTCCACACGTCGTCGACACGATTGAGCAGGTCCCCACTCGTTTTCTCTGTGTGCGTGTATCTGCGTTTCTACGTGCGTGCGTGCGTGCGTGCGTGTGTGTGTGTGTGTGTGTGTCTGTGTGTCTGTGTGCCTGCGTGTGTCTGTGTCTCTCTCTCTGTCTCGCATTCACTCTCTCTTCTCCTTGTTTTTTGAGTGAACATGTGCGCATGTCTTGGTTCACTCATTCATCGCACGCTCGCCGAACAACCTGTTCCAACATCATCACTGAAACCCGACCACACCTCCTTCATCGTTTGCGTGCAGGGTTGGGAGGAGAGCACGCTCGCATCGCTCACATTCCTCATCAGCACCACTCTTGCACGCAGCGAAAAGGACAAGATTGGTCAGTCACGCGCGTGGTTTGTGTGGTGGTGGTGGAGCGGGGCGTGTGTGCATGCGCGAGAGAAGCGTGCGCACACACACACACACACACACACTCACACATACTCACACTCCCACTCACACTCACACTCACACTCACACTCACACTCACACACACACACACACACACACACACTCACACTCACACACACACACACGCACACTCACACACACACACACACTCTCTCTCTCTGTGTGCCTGACAACAAACCTCGACACGTTCACACGCGCTGCTTCATGGTGACACCTCCACCATTGCAGTGAACCCTGGGCCCTTGCAGCTGCCGGACTCGACAGACAAGCTGCACCGGTACATCAAGTTGTTCGTTGACCGGCTCCCAGGCTCCTCCATTGCAACGGGAGAGGCGTGATGTTACACACGCGGCGTCATCGACGTTCGCTGCGCCTGCAGTTGTTCAAGTTGGTTGTTGTTTACACTAATTGTTGTTCTTGCTGTTTTCTCCTCCTTTTCACTTCTGTCTACTGTGCTGTGCCTTGTCGTGATGTGAAGGGTGCATGATAGGCGTGTTGTGTTGTCTGAGGTGCTCTGGTGCATGCATTGCGACAAACGCACACGTGTATGCATTTGCTTCAAGCTTTTGTTGGGCAGGAGGCATGTCAAGTCAAACGTCACAACACAAACAAAAAATCAATTTTGCATCTTTAATGGTGTCGCTTGCCCCGTGGTCGTGGGGTTGCCCGTAAGCAACACACCGTGGTCGCCAGACCAGTTGGAAAAGGCAGGAAGCAGAAGAAAGCACAAGACAGCAAGGCCCACGGCCCCGTTACACATTACGCAAACAAATTAAAGCACACATTCACACGACCCGAGTCCGTGGGTGGGTTGCACTTGTCGGGTACGTGGACCCTCAGGCCCTCCAAAGAGGGGGGAAAGCATTCGTATAAATAAGTGGGTCACACGTCGCGGCCCTGAGGCCGGCTGGAGAGGGGTACCCACTATCGAACTATGTAGTGGGTGGTCGCTGACGCCGCTGCCGCCGGCTGCGAGACGGCGCGTCTGTCGCTCGGTCCTTCCCCGTCGACCGTGGCGGTGGCGCTGCGGCCGGCCTTCGCGGGTTGGCGGGCCCGGCGGCTTCCGCGGTCGGAGCGTCCGTTGCGCCGTGGCTGTTGTTGTTGTTGTTGTTGTTGTTGCTGCTGCTGTGGTGCGGAGGATGTCTGCCTTTGTCTTTGTCGCCTCTTTCTCCGTCCGTCTCCGCGGCGGGGCGGTCGGTTGCGTTGCGCCCGCTGACCTCTGGCGGCCGTGGCCCAGGTGTTGGTGTTGCGTTCGGTGGGAAAGATGGAGTGCGTCTGGACTCCGCGCCGGCCCCGCCGTCCTTGCCGTAGCGACACGTCATGGTGGCTTCGTGGCTGCGCTTCTGGAAGGCGATGGATAGGCGATGGAGGGCGTAGGCGTAGTAGCTGGGTGTGGCGTGGTTGTGTACGTGTAGCTGGGTAGGTCGGCGTTGTAGACGACGCGTTTGATGAAGCGAACAAAGAACTCGCCCAGGCGGCCCGTGGCGTTGTTGTCCGCCGTCCACATAGCCTCCCTTCTCGCATACGGCCGAGAGGCCGCTGCTGCAGAGGAATGCGGCGATGTCGCCGTTAAGACGATCGTGTCGCCTTTTGCGGATAGATTGGCAGCTTTCCTGGTGGAACGCGCTCTCCGTTGGCTTGTGACATGCCCTGCACGAGGCGCGAGGGTGGTACCCGGCCGCTGGAACTCGGATACGCGCACTGAGGGAAGTCCGGAATTGTGCATCGTTGAGGGTGAGTTCTGGGCAGCTGGGCATCACGGTGAGCCAGTGGAAGGAGCCGGGGCCGCCCGCGCTGAGCTGGAAGGCGCGGACGGTGCGCTTGTGGCTGTAGGGGGTGCGTTCATCCAGGATCTTGGTCAGGGTGCGCTGGAGCTTTCTCCTGGCTTTGAGGACCTCGTCAATCGTGGTGACGCCGCCCTGCTTTTTGTCGCGTGTCGTGCACGCGAGCC